ACAAATTCCCTATACCTATAATTGAGGAGTTATTGGATGAGCTAGGAGGAGCTACTATATTTTCCAAGTTAGACCTCAAGTTTGGTTACCATCAGATCCGGATGAAGGAATCAGATATTCAGAAGACAACTTTCCGAACACATGAGGGGCACTATGAATACCTAGTTATGCCTTTTGGGCTTACTAATGCCCCATCCACCTTTCAGGCTCTCATGAATCAGGTGTTAAGGCCATTCTTAAGGCAGTTTGCCTTGGTATTTTTTGATGACATTCTGGTATATAGTAAGACTGAAGAAGAACATCAGGAGCATCTGAGGAAGGTTTTCAGAGCATTAAAAGAAAATGAGTTGGTGGTCAATCTAAAAAAATGCTCTTTTGGACAGTCACAGTTGGTATATTTGGGGCATATCATTTCTGGAAAAGGAGTGTCAGCAGATCCTGCCAAAATTGAAGCCATGGTTAACTGGCCTGAACCTAGAAATTTGAAGGGACTGAGAGGCTTCTTAGGGTTAACAGGCTACTACAGAAGGTTTGTAAAAGGGTATAGTCAAATTGCCTTACCTCTTACACAACTTCTGAAAAAAGACAGCTTTTGTTGGGGTGACAAGGCTACTCAGGCATTTGAACAATTAAAGAGGGCTATGATTTCAGTACCTGTGTTAGCTACACCTGACTTTAATAAAATGTTCATTTTAGAAACAAATGCATCTGGGACAGGTCTGGGGGCAGTCCTAATGCAAGAAGGAAAACCCATTTCATACATGAGCAAGGAATTATCAAAAAGGAATCAGAATAGTTCAGTTTATGAAAGAGAACTCATGGCTATTGTTTTGGCAGTACAAAAATGGAGACCTTACTTACTGGGCAGAGTTTTTGAAATCCATACTGATCAAAGGAGTTTAAAATTCTTGACTGAACAGAGAGTGATGGGGGAAGAACAACAGAAATGGACTTCAAAATTGCTGGGATACAACTTTATCATCAAATACAAACCTGGGAAGGAGAATAGGGCTGCAGATGCCCTATCCAGAAAGTTGACACTACACTCCTTATCCATTGTCACCTGCCAAGAGTGGGAAGGGTTAGAAGAGGAATTGAATTCAGATTGCAAATGCAAGGACCTGATTCAGAAGGCCATAGCACAACCAGATGAGTACCCTGATTTCCAGATTAGAAGGGGGTTATTATATTACAAAAAGAAGTTGGTGTTGCCAAGGGAGTCCCCAAGGGTATTAAGGATTATGAAGGACTATCATGAATCTGCAGTGGGAGGTCACTCAGGGTATTTTAGGACTATGAAGAGAATCTCCAATTTGTTCTATTGGCATGGTATGAGGGCTGACATCAAGAAGTATGTGGAAGGATGTGGTACCTGCCAAACCAACAAATACCAGGCTCTTAAGCCTGCAGGGTTGCTACAGCCCCTACCCATTCCCAGCAACATATGGACAGATATCAGCATGGATTTCATTGGGGGATTGCCTAAATCTCATGGAAAGGATACAATCTTGGTTATTGTTGACAGATTCACTAAATTTGCCCATTTTTTGGCCCTCTCTCACCCCTATAATGCAAAAGAAGTAGCTGAATTGTTCACAAAAGAGGTGGTCAAATTACATGGTTTCCCTAAAACTATTGTAAGTGACAGAGACAGTTTGTTCATGAGCTCTTTTTGGTCAGAATTATTCAAGTTGGCAGGAACTCAGTTGAAATACAGTACAGCATACCACCCTCAGACTGATGGGCAGACTGAGGTGGTCAACAGGTGCCTAGAGACCTACTTAAGATGCATCACTGGCAGAAAACCAAAACAGTGGAGTCAATGGTTGCATTGGGCAGAGTTCTGGTACAATACAAACTACCATTCATCTCTGAAACTGACTCCTTACAGGGCTTTATTTGGGCAAGACCCTCCTGCCATTATCAGAGGAGATGCAACACTTACAGCTGTAGAAGAAGTGTCCAGATTAACAGCCCAAAGGAATATCATGTTGGAGGAATTGAAGAAGAACTTAGAGATTGCTCAGAACCAGATGAAACAAGCTGACAAACATAGAAGAGAGGTAAAATTGAACATTGGGGATCATGTCTATTTGAAAATTCAGCCTTATAAACTCAGAAGTTTGGCCAAAAGAATAAACCAAAAGTTGAGCCCTAGGTTCTATGGACCTTTTGAGATTGTTGACAAGATAGGCCCAGTAGCATTCAAGTTAAAGCTGCCAGAAGACAGTAAAGTATACCCGGTTTTTCATGTTTCCCTACTGAAGAAGGTGCTATCACCAAACACATCCTACCAGCCTTTACCTAAGTGTTTGGGTGAAGACCTGGAATTGCAGGTAACACCAGAGATGATAATGGACTCCAGAGTGAGTAAAGAGGGCAACATTGAGGTGCTGATACACTGGAAGGGGCTACCAAGTTTTGAAGATTCTTGGGAATTAGTATCAGTGTTGAGAGAGCAATTTCCAGACTTTCACCTTGAGGACAAGGTGAATTTTCAGGGGGGAAGTATTGATAGACACACAGCTCAGCAGCCCACTCAGTATTTTAATAAAGTATATAAACGGAGGAGCCGGAAGATAGTTAGTTAATTAGCTAAGTAACTAGTAAAGGTTACTTTATCCCTGCGTGGATAATTTTACTATAAATAGAATAATAGAAGTGATTGTCAGTAGGCTGTTATTTGATTGTGAACTTGGCTTTTGGAGATTGGACATCTCGAATAGTCCCTGAACATTGTATCCCTGTGAGCTGTTCAGTTGGAGAATAAACCTTCCTATCCGATCTTCTACCTTGTCATTGCATTCTTACTTTTCTACTTGAAACTATCTGTGATCTATCTGTGATCTAACAATCTTCAGATATACCCTTTACCCTACAGTCAGCTGAACATCCCTTCTCTTCTTATCAGCCTGTTGCTTCATTCGGTTTTGTGCACTAGCCAAATTGTTTTTCAGTTCCTCTAACATCTCATTCCTTTCCGCTGTTAGTCTATCCACCTCCTCCACAGCAGTTAAGGCCACATCTCCCCTGATCAGCACTGGTGGATCCTGTCCATAAAGTGCCTTGTAGGGGCTGGTCTTGGTAGATACATGGTAGTTGGTGTTATACCAAAACTCAGCCCAAGGTAGCCACTTGGGCCACTGCTTGGGTTTCATCCCAGTCATACATCTGAGGTAGGTTTCCACACATTTGTTAACTACCTCAGTTTGCCCATCTGTCTAGGGATGATATGCAGTGCAATATTTGAGTTTGGTTCCAGCTAACCTGAATAATTCAGTCCAAAATGAGCTGAGGAAGACACTGTCTCTGTCTGAAACTATGGTTTTTGGAAAACCATGCAATCTAACCACTTCTTGTAAGAATATCTCTGCCACTCCTTTAGCATTATATGGATGTGATAATGCTAGGAAATGAGCATACTTTGTCAACCTGTCCACCACCACAAGAATAGTGTCTTTCCCATTTGCTTTTGGCAATCCTCACTAATTCCAGATAGAAAAAGTGGTAAATCTACTTTCCGGCCAGATTTCTTAATCCACTTACTGTAATCGTCCTCGCGCCTAGAAGATGAAGAGCGATGATTACCTTCAGACGAATAGGAGTCGCGACTATCATCCCTCGCGCGTCTCCTGATCGTTTTTGACCTTCCTCGTGAATCGCGATCGTTACGCTGCAAAATCAGCTCGCGTAATTCTTCGCTGTCACGTTTTGCTTCCTCGCGATTTTTTTCCAGCTCGCGCTCCAGATTTTCCAGCCTTGCTTCCATCGTCCCCCTTGTAGCAACCATGTACCGGTAGCAGAATCACTGCTCTGATACCAAATGTTAAGTATCTATCTGGAATTAGTGAGGATTGCGACAGAAAAGAGAAACGAAGATGAACAGATTTGTTATTCAATCAACAGAAAAGAGAGAGAAAGTGCCAGACAGTTAAAGAGATGTCAACTCTCCAGTCCCAGCCAACTACCAAATCACAACCTGCCTTATTTCTCCTGTAGCTATCTATTTATAGAAGTCTACCCGACCCCTTATTACAACTCCCAGCTACTTATTATTCCCTTTCCTTCTGGAATACACTTTGTCATAATAGCTAATACTATTATTATTATTATTATCAATAGGCTGACTTCCTGTAGCTCTAACAGTAGGCTGCTAAAACCACTAGGGGAATGGCACAGGGAGGGATGAAGATTGAAAGGCTGCTAAAACCACTATCAGTTTCTTCTATTTTTATTTTTATTTTTATTTTTTATTGAGCAACTAAGTAGGCCTTACTTTTTTATTTCCAAGATGAGTCTTATAGTGATAAATTAATATTGGCTATGATCATCTTTGGCGCTCTATATGTACATATACTTTTATGAGTAGTCTTTTCATTAGAAAACAATATCACGGTTAATTTCTGCATAATCACAGCTAACATTAGAAAAGACGATCACAGTTAATCTTCTTCATAATTTAATATCATCATAATCATTACCCCAGTGCCGCAAAGTCTCCCACCTACGGTGGGGTAAGCGGGGTCGGATGTACGCAGCCGTACCCATGTACTAAAGTACAGACAGACTGTTTCCGGATGACCCAAAGTGAAAATCGCGTCGAAAATTGGACAGATTGACTGCTACTTCATTAACAAAGAAACACAGACACTTTAGTGAGCCATTTTGCTTTATTCCATCATATTCCCAAGCCAAAAAATAGTGAAGTCTTTGGCTCCATTGCAAATGATGGAAAATTCTTCATAATTTAATACTTGCGTATAAAATTGAAATGTTAAAGTAATACTTATTCAGGTAGTGGTATCTTTGAACATTATGTGAAGATAAGTTGTGATGTTTAAGCTGCGTTAGATCCTTAAAATCTTGTGTTTGATCATAACATTGCTCAGCTCTTGAAATTATTACCCTTCATATGGAACACTCTTATCATCTTATGTGCTGACTGCTGCATTAACCTTTGGCATCACAATGATGTTTTTCGTTTTGTTTTCTGATTGCAGCTATGAAGTTCTCTTGACATTGGATAAGGAGAAACATAAAGTTGACGGACCAATTTATTACTATCTCTTCAACACCCTTCTATTTGGCTTGCTTGTTCTTCACATCTATTGGTGGGTGTTAATGTACAGAATGCTTGTTAAACAAATTCAAGCCAGAGGCAAAGTCAGTGAAGATGTTCGGTCTGGTATGTAATTACGTACTTGTATTTTTTATAATTATAACACCCATCAGAATTCAGAAGACCTCAAATAGATGTATAAGTATACCAAAATGGAAATAGCGTGAAATAGTATTTTCCCCTCACTTTTGATCTACAACCTCCGTCAAGCCCCCCCCCCGCCCGTGCTTACAGTTGGAAGGGGCTCTCATGGGGAGGGTTTCGCCATTTTTAAAACAACATTGAATTCAGAAAATGGTATGTGTTGGGAATAAAAGGATCGTGCTAATATGAAAGAAAAACACTTCTATTACTTTCAAGAATAGAAAACTAAAAACTCTCAAATACACCTCACATATCTCTCAAGGATATTCATTACTCTTCTTGGTTGTGCTATAATGATCTATGATCTGATAATAGAAAGCATTACAAGCTTGTCTATTTATAGTACCAAAACTAGATAGTAGGAAGGTGGAAGGAAGATGGGTGGAAGCTTAGAGGAAACTTCAATGGAGGGTGTGAGGAAGGTGGTTCCTGGGTGTGAGGAAACTTCCCTTGTCATTCTTGCTTATGGGGGAAACTTCATGGAAGTTAGGAATTGGATTCTTCAATTTGCTTGTACTTGGATGTCCTGGAAATAGAATTCTTGAGTATGGAGAGGAAAAACAATAATTAGGAAAAAGAGTTTTCAGTGAACAATTACTTTTGATCAGAACTTCTAATTTTACATATATTTAAATTTTAGTTTTTACATATTATAGAAACATATACATAAAAAGATTTGCACAAAATATCTATTGATATTTTGGTTTATTTCTTCCCCTAGTATAGTAGTAATAGATCTGGGTTCCCCTCTGTACAATTTTTTTTGATCTGGGCTCCAATGGGACCCTAAAGAAGGAGTTGCAAAATCCAGACTAAAATGCCAATCCATTTCAAACAATAACCTGTTTTATTCAGTAAATTTTCACCCCATGCAGATTCTGAGGATGAGGGTGAACATGAGCATGAAGATTGACCATACCAGAATGTTTTTCATTCTCACTCCCTGCTCAGAAGGTACTTCAATTTTCAAAATATGGTTTGATTCTAAACGATGGGTGCCAAACAAATAAATAAACAGATCTCAATCAGATCTGATCAAATAAAAAACAAATCTCAATTAGACCAGACTCTAATACCTTGTTAATTGATTTTAGCGTACCTCAAAGTGTGTGGTGTTACCTCACATACATACATATTAGATATCAATCTAGAAATATCCGATGTGGGACAATTAACAACATGTATGTTGGATCAAGTAAACAGTATTCTTTAGGTGAGAATGAATGAATGAATGAATGTATTGAATGAATGTAAACAAATGGAATGAATGTGGTGCGCAAGAATAAAGATGCATGTAAAATGCCAGCGGCGGAGCAGTAATTAACTGCAACTTATGGCACAATATTCGATTAATAAGTGCATATTGATACTAAAAAAGCGCAACCACGCTGTATGGGAAGCACACTTTTTATCCGGCCGCGAACCTATGTACTGTATATGACAAACACAAAATTATCCCTTGGTGAAGATAAATGGAAGAAACGTCGAAAGTCGAAACTCAACCACATGCATGATGAGATCAGTCAAAAGTTCAATATTATTCCCTTATGTTTAGCAACAATGTGCTTCTGTATCTAAGTATCTAGCCCAATAAGTTCTGCACATCCCTGTTGTTTATGGTATGATTTGGCCACTAGTTTTATACTTTTATGTTCATTGCCTTGCATTTATGCAGCTGATTACACTAAACCTTCTTTGTTCTTTTTTTACAGCCAAGTGAATACGAAAAGTCAATATTGTCACATATGACGTGGTTGCGTATTGTGAAGTTTGTGGTTATCAGTTTGTGAGTTTTATGTGGACTTGCACTTTTGCCGCGGGAAAGTGATGCTGTACCTGCGCGTACACTAATTCATTTTTCATATTGCATTTATTAATTATTTATATTTTGTTTGAGTTCATTTCTGCTTAATTTGTGGAAAAATTAATATTTGCTGGTGTCGGGACCATTGAGATTTGAGATGAATTCTCCATATTAAAAGCAGTTGGATGGTGTCAAAGTGAGTTTTTCTGAAGTGTTCATGTGGACTCGCTATAATTCTACATGAAAATTAATTTATACTTTGTATGAGTCTCATTGACCCAGGTGGACCTTATGACTTTAAATAATTTTATTTTTACATTTTGTGATTTGTACACATGATTCTGGGCTAAAATAGGCAGTTGTGTTACTTCTAACTTTCTATTAATAGATTAATAGAAAAGTTGGGTACGTTATCCCTGGTGTAACACATGTGTATGACGAGCTATTATTAATGTTTTATAAGCGACAGATTGTCTTAGGAATTAGGATGTCTTCACTTGGATTTATTTCAGTCTCATAAGTCAGATCAGACTTAAACAAAGTTAACAAACCATATCAAACTGACTTAAATAGACTAGACCAGATTGGACTTGATAGTTATATAATATATGTGGACTGATGTCTGATGGACCAGACCAGTTAAGATTAGACATTTAGACCAGCAAATTTTGATCCAATTCAAAACATCCTTATTGGCACATTTAGGGCTTGTTTGGTAACGGCTGTAGTGGCTGAAAATGCCGAAAAGACTGAAATTTCGAAGTGAGAGTGTTTGGTAATATATTGGTTGAATTGACTGATAGAATGTGTAATTACTTAAAGGGTATTATTTTTGTGTACTAAAATATTGCAGATTACCAACAATAAGTCAATAACACATAACAAGTTTTTAAGTCAATTCATCAAGATAGATGCAAGGAAGAGCGAGAAGAAAAACCGTAAAGGAAAAATCACCCTGATGCCGTCCACAGAGAAGTAGAGAACATAAAGAACACTTGGGTAGGGACTAGGGAATAAAGCACAAAAAAAATTCTTTTCATACCCAGAAAGCCACAACCAAACTGGTGAGGTAATTAAGGGCTTGACAATCGTTACCAATTTTATTTTTAAAATCAAAGGTACAAACCAGATTCTAGTACAAGAAAGGCTTAGCTAATCAAAGGTATAACTCCATTTACCTACAAACGATGAAGAACCCCCTCTTGGTGAAAAAGATATGCTCTGTTTACCGAATTAGTTACAGGACAGGGAGAAGAGATGAAAAGAGCTTACTAGATCGAATATGAAGAAGAGATGAAAAGAGCTTACTAGACCGAATATGAAGCTGAGAAGGAAATTTTGGATGCAGTAGATAAGGATAAAGCTGTCTCTTAACATTTAACAATACAAAAATAAAAATCAGCTCAAAAAGTAACTCCGATAGTTCGATGCTACTTTTTTGGCTGATAATAGAAATCAGCCAAAGCAACCAAATGTAGTGGTGTTTGGCTATTTTTACGGATTTTCAGTCTGATCAGCCAATTTTTACTCTTCCAAACACCCTCTTAGCTTGCTTATATGTAGGGGTGGATTCGGGCCGGGCCAGGTCCAGGTCGGGCCTAGGCCCGGGCGGGCCAGCGATTCTGGATAGGTGGGCCCGGGACCAGTCCGGGTAGCCACCGGGTCCGATCCGGGTCCGGGCCTGGCCGGGTCGGTCGTCGGATCATTTTGTTTTCCTAATTAACCCCCCTCCCACCCCCAACCCCCAAACCACCCCAAATGGCCCAAAATACCCAGCCCAACCCGAAAAGTTAAAAAAATTGAAAAAAAAAATTATAAAGCTCGGAACTGGGCCCGAACCGGTCGGGCCGGTTTGGCTTTCGGGTGACCTGAGCCCGCACCGGGAACCCCTCAGGGCGGGCCTACCTGGACCGGTCACTGACCGGGCCACCAGGCCGGGCCGGTTCAGCACAGGCCGGTCCAAGCCTACTTATATGATGTTAATCTACTACAATGAAGTAGGGATGGACTCGGGCTTGGCTGGGCCCGGGCGGTACCAATACTAGAAAATTGGAGTGTGGTACCGGCCTGGGTATGCTCCGGTTCCGAGCCCAAACAGTATTGGGTCTGGGCCCGTTCGGACTCGGCCCAAAAAATCGAGCCCGAAGCCCGCCCCTTCTAACCACCGGTCCGGGTACTGGGTCTGTACCAGGCCCTTGAAAACCGGGTCGAGCGGGCCTAAGCAGTACTGGGCTGGACTGGTCCCGGGTCGGGCCGCCCGAGCCCAGTCCATCCCTACAATGAAGCACTCAATCTCTTCAAATATGCCAATGCTAGAAAATTCAAAACACTGAACAAATTGTTGCACATTTGAAAGTTCCGACTTTGTCTGTTTGGTTTAAGAGTTTGGTCCTTATAATATTCATTTAGTAATGTAATCATTTCTTTTGTCGTGTTTAAATATGTGAAATACTCCGTAACGCTTTTGGTACCTCATTTTTTCCAAGACTTTGAAGTGTAGGTACTCTTAATTTTTTAAAATGGCGTACTTTAATTGTGTAACACTTCATAAATAGCACATCTAGAGTCCACATACATCATACATCCCTAGAGTATATATATACAATTTGTTGCAGAATAAAGGGCTACTTTATCAAGATGTTTCATAGTTAAGGCAAGACATTTGCACAAGTTATAATTGTGTTAAAAACTGAAAACTGATTATTGCACAAATAAGGGTGATAACTTCGTCTAGTGTACATACACTGTGCCATAGGGGGAATATAAATTGTTTGAAAAAATTCCACTTTTGGTCCCGTGACTATTATATCACTTCCACATTTGGTTCTTTACTTTCAAATTGTCCACATTTAGTCCGTGACCATTATCCCCTCACCACCCCTCGTCCTTCCGGCCAAAATTTCGTCAAATTTAATGCAGATTTTAGGTATGAAAAACCAAATTTAATGCAAAGACTGATATGAAAAACCTAACATGATACAAAATTTAATGCAAAGACTGATTCTAAGGCTGAGAAGTGGACTAAATTTACCGGAATTTTGGCCGGAAGGACGAGGGGTGGTGAGGGGATAATGGTCACGGACTAAATGTGGACAATCTGAAAGTAAAGGACTAAATGTGAAAGTTGTATAATATTTATGGGATCAAAAGTGGATTTTTTTCTAAATTGTTTAATATGATGACTTTTAATCTCACCCTAAAAATATGAAACGTGGATTATTTTGTTTAAACAACGAGTCCAAGATTACACTTGTTTTGTAGATTATTTGTGTACATTCATATGTGATAGTACGTATATAAACTTGTGTTGTGAAAAGTTGAATAATTTATTGCCGTACTGAACTTTGTGAGTTGATGATTCATGTTGTCCAATAAAATTAGAAAGAATGGCATACGTATGACCTAGACACTTTTAAAAGATCAAAATATAACTCTTTTTTATTTTTCCAAAAATGTGATCTAAAAAATTTAACCTCCAGACACTGCGACTCTCCCTATCCTCTTGGAACAAACTACGATGGATCTCCTCTTAACAGCAATCAGCGATGGAGTAAGGAGATTACAACGCCGACTTCCTCATAGCCAATGCACGCACGCACGCCGCCTTCGTCTCAGCCACACTCGGCGTCGTTGTTGTCTTCATCACAGCCAACACACGTCGTTGGCGTTGTCTTCGTCGCAATCACCCCCCCACCGGTGCTGATTTCTTCCTCGTAGCCAACTCATGCCATCTCTGGCCGAGGCGGCGGCTTGGCGGCAGAGGTTGGGGCTTGAGCGTGGGAAATGGTGCATGGGAAATGGTGCGCTGAGTCTAGGCTAGGCTAATTGGGGCTAGATTGAGGCTGGGGATAGGTGGATTGGGGGTTGGGCTGGTCGGACCAGGAGTTGGACATGGCTAGCGGCGCTGAAGAGTAGGTGGTGGCAGGGTTGGACGGTGCTGGGGCAGAGGGGCTGGAGCGTTGGGGCAGATATGCTGGGGAATGGGGATGGAGCTGGGAAGCTGTGGAGGGACGGGGAGCAGGGGAAAGGGATTAGGGTGCAGGGGAGGGGGCTGGGGGCAGGGGAAGGGGGATGTGGGGATGTGGGGCTGGGGTGCAGGGGAGGTTGGCTGGGGTGCAGGGGAGGGGGAGGGGAGCAGTGGAGGGGGCTAGGGCTGGGGTAAGGAGCGGTGGAGGGATGGGACACCGGAGACAGCGTGTTATTATTGCGGTGTCACTGTGGGTGATGGGCGGGCCCTAACTTTGCCCGGAGTCACTTTAGCGGTGTCACTATAGCGGTGTCACTGTGTCCGGCACTCCGGCAACGGTGATCGGTGGCGGCGCTAACCGACGATGGCGGCAGCGGCAGCGACATATATCTTATAGTGACATAACAGTCCGGTAGTGACAAAAAAAATGGCAGTGACATCATGTTTTCCAAATATGTGACCTACTTAGTCACATTTTTGTCTTTTTAAAAAATGGTCACATTTTTGGAAATCAGATTGCTTATCTAATGCTCTTAGAATAGCTTATCATTCATACACATCTATAGAGCTTAGATTAGTTGGTAGATTAGTTTAAACCCATGTAAACTAGTCTAGTGTATTCATTCTGGGATGTGTGTGATCATCCACAAGGTGAGGCAAGGACATGAGTAGCTTCTGACTGGGCAACCCATTAGTGAAAAACCTTGGAGGACATGAGTAGCTTGGAACATTGTGGTTCCTCGTGAAAAACCTCATAATCTATGCTCGGGCCAGGGGGTAGATTGGGCACTAAATGCTATGGGATATTCATTTAGTGGAAAATTCATCTGAAATAGGTTGGGACTGGATGTAGGAGGATTACACCACCTCTGAACTAGGATATATCTTGTGTACCTATTTACATTCAACACCCAACACATACTTCAGTTCTCATTCACCTTCATGCTATCCCAAAGGCTTGCATATTCACTGACCAGAAAACTCCCTAAAGTTTTATGTGAACCAAAAACTCCTTACCTACGCACTACAAAGAGATCTATGACAATAGGTCTAAATCCTTCACGCAAAAAGTGTTCTGTCCATCCATCTCTGTTACAACTAAAAGAGTCATAACCTTTGTTCCTATAAAGTGTCACACTCTTGAGGTCAAGACTTCCGCTGTATGTTTCAATGTCTCCCAAAAGATATTGGAACACATTCTGTTAGAGGAAAAAGGGTTGAAAAGAAAGATTTTTAGAAGTGTATTCACCCCCCCCTCTAGGCTTCTACCTCACTTGGGACCATCACAGTTAACAAAACCCACTAGTATCAATCTGCTAATTCAACCGACTATAAGTTAAAACAGCCAACCACTAATTGTCAATCACTCATGCATGTAGACATTTTTAGTCATCCACTTTTCATGACAAAATAACAATAAGTGACTTAAATTGCTTATTTCACAATACTTATGAGACTAAATGTAACAAATTCCAAAGTCAAGAATTAA